AAGCATGATCCCTTCCAGCTCAATCCATGTTGCTGCAAAAGACATGAGTTTATCTTTTTTGATTGCTAAGTAATATTCCATGTGTATATGCACTACATCTTTTTAATCCAGTCATCTACTTTTGGGCATTTGGGTTGATTCCATGTCTTTCATATTGTAAATCGAGCAGCAATAAACATAGGGGTACAGGTGTCTTTTTGAATCAATACTTTTGTGTCCTTTGGGTAGATACATAAGAGTGGGATTGCTGGATCATAAGGAAACTCCTTTTTAGCCTTTTAAAAAATCTTCAAACAGCGTTCCATAATGGTTGTAGTTTGCATTCCCACCAGTAATATAGGAAAATTCCTTTTTCACCACATCCTTACTAGCATTTGTTTTAAAATGGGCCATTCTCACTGGTATGAGATGGTATCTTATTGTGGTTTTAATTTGCATCTCCCTTATTGCAAGTGATGTTGAACATTTTTTCATATGCCTTCTGGCCATCTCATTTAATTTCTTCCTTTTCTCCTCATTGATCCAGTGGTCCTTCAGTAGTGTGGGTTTCAATCTCCATGAAGTAGGTGGGTTTCTTGCCTTCTTCACATGGTTAATTTCTAGTTTGAGTCCTTCAAGGTCAGAGAAAATAGTTCCTGTAATTTCGATCTTAGTGTATCTGTTGATATTTGAATGTGTCCCAGTACGTTGTCAATCCTTTAGAATGATCCATGTGGATTTCACTATCATTGCTTTGGGCATTGTATCTTTAAAGATGTTACTGAGGCTTATGTCATGTAGTGTTTTGCCCACCTTTACTTCCAGATATTTTATGGTTTTGTGTCTTATGTCTAGGTCTTTAATTCACTTTGAGTTGGTTTTTGTGCATGGTGTGAGGTAGTGATCTAGCTCCATTTTTTTTTTTTTTTTTGCATGTAGCAGCCCAGTTTTCCCAGCACCATTGTTGAACAAATTTTCTTTGTTCCATTGCATATTCTTTGCTCCTTTGTCAAAAATTAGCAATCCATAAGCTAAAATATTAATAATTTTATTATATTTTAAACATTAACAAATTATGATCATAGCTATATAGGTACTCTGTGAAATTGACCATTGCTGTAAGTGTTCTCCTACAACAGATCCTAATTTATAAAGTCTTCTATGTTATTTTTTTTAGCTAGTATGTGTGTGTGTATATATATATATATATTTTACTCTTGAAATATTTCTAGAACTTTCCCTTTTTTACATGATTAGACTGAGGAGTAGGAGTTAGTGAAATAACTTGTGCAAGTCACAAAAAATAGCTAAACTGTGCTCAAAACCAAGGAACTTTCTTTCTTTTTAAAGACTTTTTTTTATTTATACACTCAGAAATGGGGTACAGGCCAGAGGCTCAGGGGCGGTGAGAGGCTTCACCAGAGACAGAGTGGGGAACAGAACAGGCAGATCGACGAAGTACACTGCTGAGAGGAGCAATGGGCGGGTCAGGAGAGGTCTGCTGCACCATATGGTCACCTCTGGGGCAGGTGGGAATCGAACTCATGCGGAAGCGGCTTTAGATTCTCAGTGCTGTGCTTTAACCCACTGCGCCACCAGGGAGGGCCCAGAACTTTCTTGTTCCTAAAAGAACTATTTCTTCTCACTGATCTGCTTCTACTATTTAAAGGTAAAAAAATACAAACTTCAACTTAAAATTCTGCAGTCTCCTCTGGCCTGATTTTGATTTCCCATTCTCATCCCAGGCACATATACCAGTACATACATGTGTCAGCTCCTTTGGAAAAATACCAAGGAATGTGATGCCTACTTTGTGTGGTAGGAGTGAGTTTGGTTTTGTAAGAAAGCACTAAACTCTTCCAGAGTTGATTTACCATTTTTTAATATTTTTTCTTCAAAGTATGCTATTTCTAAAGCCCCCATTCATTTCTTATTTTTGTACAGTATCTTTTCTCAAATCTAAAAACCCTTCTCTCGTCACTGGAATATAGTGTAAATGTATGATATTCTGAACGTTCCATGTTGAACAGGCTTTTCTTAATTTTACATAATTTTCACAGATACTCCCCAACACAGTTTCATCTCTTAGGATTCCTGGAGTTGTATCTTCATTCTACTTCATTTTCTTAAAACTCCAGACCCATTAGGCTGTTTTCTACTGGTTAGTTTTACTTCAACTATTCCATGGCATCATTTAGTCATCAGTGACTACCTCTCTGCAGATGTTCTTCCCAAGTTCCTTTTACAGGTATGTGTAATCTCTCTTTACTTATTGCCCAAGCCAGATGCTTGGGGTATTCTTTGACTCTGCCTTCACTTTCATTTCTGACATCAAAGACTTCTCAAATTTTGTATCTCTTTTTCTTTCAATTCTAATGCTCTCTCTATCCCCACCACCACCACTCTTTTCTCTTTTTCTTAGTTTGATTATATCTAGCTATCTACTTTCCCAACCTCAGATCTGGGTGCTGGTTTTTACCCCTTATTAGAGTCTGTTTGTTCTTCAGAATGTTGTTTTGATGAAAATTCCGTGTCAACATCTGATGTTGATAGCCTTCATTGAAATGTCTAGTGTCTACCCCCAGCCACGGAATAAAACCACATGTCCTGCTTGTAAGGTGTTTCTGCAGCCTTATGTTTTGATGCCTCATACAGATTTTCCTGTGCATGCTATTTTTTCTGACATCATATTCTTGTTCTTCCTGTGCCTTGTCCCCAGGATATATTTCTCTCTGCTTAAGTAATTCACACTTAGCATTCAGCATTAAGTGGAAGATCATGATTCAGGTGGCAGCTCTTTGTTTTTTTCCTTCTGTTTGTCCACCACATGGCTTTCTTCATCTCCCTGTGTTCTTTATGGAACCTGAGTGATACTTTCCTTGAAGTACTATTACCACATTGCCTTATAAATGATTTCCTGCTGACCTACCCAACCTCACAAAGACCTGTGACCCCCTCCCTTCTGTATCTGAGTACCCAAGAATGGACAACATTATGTTTGATTATTTACTGACATTTTCCCACAACAGTGGTTCTTAACTGAGGGTGTTACAGCCCTTCAGGGGACAGTTAGTAATGTCTGTAGTTATTTTTGATGGTTATAGCTAGTGTAGTAGTGCTGTTCTCTATAATTGGTACAAGTCAGGAGCCTGCTAAAGAAACTTGAATGCATAGGAAAGCCACTGCCACAGTATCTAACCAAAAGTGGCAACAGCGCTAAAGCTGAGCAATCCTGCCTCTAGGATGCAACAAAAAATAAATTAACTGAATTTTCAAAATAAACAGTCTGTTCCCTTTTGTGGCATTTTATTCAGATGCCAAGCAAAGGGAAACATGACTCAGGTGCTTATTAATTGGTTAACAGCTGCCTGTTGGTACTTAGACATGTAATGGATACTACCAAAAGGATAGTAGAACTAAGTTCTTCATTTGAGAAGATTTCTCATTTTTTCTAATTTTTAAAAAATGTGCATAGTAACAAGTGACTGCTCAAGCAACTTTTTTTTGAGATGTTGGTATGGATTAAGTTCCTAAAAAGGCTTTGACTATAAGATCCTTATAAAAGGCTAAATATGGTAAACTTTTATCATATGAAGATTATGAAAACTAATGAAAACTCTGTCCAAGTCTATACACATACACAAGTACACATGTACACATGTACTCACAAACCATCAACCTCAAATACTTGTATATTCATCTGTCTTTAATCAAGTTCCTGCTATAGTTCCAGGGACACAAGCCCTGTTAATCTGTTAAAGACAGGGCTCCTTATTAGTTAGGGACTCCATATTTACACTATGAATTAACCAGGTACAGACATCCATTTAGCTAACTGTACAATTTAGCATAAGTATTGATTTTAGAGGGGCTACAAATATACTGAGAAATTAGAACATTGAAAGATAAATTGTTGCTGACAGGAGAACAACCTGCAAAACCTATCAGTGGGAAAATAAAATGTCGACTACACTTACATTTTTGTCTTTGTCTAGGGAAAGACAGAACATATTATAGAAAAAAATGTTTTGATTTTCCTCACTAGTATTAGATAGGTAATATAATTTGTATTTTACAATCTAGTTTTCACACAAAAACTCTTCTTGTAGTACTTAAGATAATTGGCATGGGCCTCCGTAGTGGCACAGGATTTAAAAACAGCTTTGTCAAGCTGTTGCAGCATGAGTTTGATTTCTGGTAGGTCAGGGAGCTTAACCATATGGCACAGAAGACCTCTCTGTCTCGCCTGCTGCTCCCCTCAGCAGTGTATTTCAGTACATCTGCCTGTTCTACTTCCCACTGTCTCTGTTGAATCCTCTAACCCTCCACATTTCTGCCTTTGCCCCAGTTCTTGTATGCATAAATAAATAATAATCTTTTAAAAAAATTATTTGAGCACAAGAAACATTTTAGGAAATGTTAGGAAAAAGATAAAGTGACTTATAGCCTTAAGTATTCCTCTGTTAATTATTAGCAATTTCCAGTTATAAAATATTATATGGAACTTCTGCTGGAAGTCACATCTATTTGTTATCCTTAGCAACTTCTTTGTTAAGTGAAGTGAGATAATTTTATTTATATTTTGTTTATAAGAGTAGTGAAAATTATTTATCTCACATTAGCTTTCAAAATTAAAAAGAATATTTTTGACAATAGGTGTTAGGTTATAGTGGCTATCCTCAATCATTCAGGCTGGTGTTACTAGTTCAGTGTTGAAGACTAACTATATGTGTGGCACATTTAGTTTATTGAAGGAAGATTGAAATATTTCTACTGGATTTTGTGTACTGTATATTATGAGATAATATCTGGGTTACAATTGGTTTAACCGCTTCTTATTGGGCATATGGCTTGATTACTTTTGGATTTTGTGTCAAAATCCAAAATGACTTTTAACTACAGATAAAAGTTTTAGCTACTTGTTTCAGTGAATATAATTATAAGGAAATATAATAATATCTACATATTAATGTGAAGTTGAATAAAGAGCTCTCCAAATTTAACTGCATTCCTTTTTTCAGACAAGGTCTACTGAAATTTTGGAGTATTCTTCAGATAGTGAAAGAGAAGATGGCTCAGAGAATGTCTTTCTCATTGATTCAGAAGCCTCTTACAAACATCATATGGATTTAGGATCGGATAGAAGTCAGGTTATAGAAAGACCGATAAATCCAAGAGTGAAACCTACAGAGGCCATTTTGTGTACACCTCAGAAAGAGACAAAATTTCCCAGGACTCCAGAAAATTCATCAAAAAAAGGGAAACTTTTAAGGTAAATCACAGCTTTCTTAATTCTTTTTACTTTATTTTTTTAGATTTTCTCTTTAAGTACCCAAATACCCAAAATTTTTATTTAAAACTTTTTACTTGTGAACAAAAATCAATACAATAAATTATAATTCCAGTAATCATATGGAAGTTCTAAGTTCTAGAGATGATTTTTTAACTTGTTGGCATTCACTGTTACAATGATAACCAGCTTAGGTGACTGCTTTCCTTACGGAGATTATTAGTTTATCAAATTTTATTGAGCATTAATATTCCAGGGATATCTTAGATAATTAAGATACATACATGACAGTTACTGTTTTCAAGTAATTTACAGTAGAGTGTACATATGGAGGTCCACCAAGACCTGCTGATATATTTATGGTATGTACATCAAGATAAGCTAAGTACAGTGTACACTAAGGACTCCAATTCAGTGTTAGTGTAGGGAGGAAACAAGAGGATCATGGTCCAATGAGCCAAGGACACTCAAGAGTGGTGAGTGGAACGAGTGCTTTCATCTGCTAGGATTCAAGGGATTTGAGGTAAGCAAAGTTGTTAACTGGCTTGGAAAGGATCCAGGGTCTCTAAATGTACTTCAGGGAAAAGGTAAGACAGATACAGAAAATAATGGGGAGTGTACATTGGAGATAGGAAGTGAAAGCTTTGTCAGTATCCAGAAATGGATGTTTGGGAGAGATAGGTAGGGAGAAGAGGCCCATTTTGCAGCAAAGGAGTAGAAGGTAGGGTTTAAGAATATGACCAGATCTTTTGGGCATGTATGCAGTATGATGAGTCAATTCATGCCTATTCACCATAAATATCTTTTATCTTTTTCTTTTTCACAAAATAAGAAATAAGTCCTGGTATGCAGTATGAAGTAGGAGGATGGTGACTTCTAATAGTCTCTGGAGATAACAGGAAGGGAAACCAATTAAAGGTATATGAATGTCTTTGATGTTGAAGTCAACACCATACCATTACATAAAATTAGGTTTCTGATCCTATTGAGGTCCTACTACATGAACAGCACTGAATTTTATCCTGGAGACATAGCAACTAACAAAGGCACCTATAGACCTGCTTGTGTTGGGGGAAAGACTGTTGAGAGCTTAGAAGTAAACATCTAGAAGGGCTATCAAAAGTTGATTGGCTTTATGGAGAAAAAGCAGAAAAGGGGATAGAGAATGGTATAGATACAAGTGAGGGCATTTAAATTTTAAACAGGCAATCAGGTAAACCCCTGAGAAGATGAGATACTGAGTAGCTTATCTATTGGAATGACATTTCCAGAGATGAAGTCATATGGTTTTGTTTGGTTTTTCTTGGTGGTAAAATGATTAGGGGTTTGTTGTTGGGGGTGGGGTAGCAATTGTTAGTATTTTACTTTCTGTATTCTGAAGTGATGGTACAAATTTTTTGCATATTTATATATTGGAATTTTACTGTCTGTTTGATTCTATATTTTCAAACAAACTGGTAGTGGTTTTTTGGTTTTTCTTTTTTCCCACAAAATCTGGGGTTTTTCCCACCAACTTCTCTGTTGGATTTAAATTGTTATATATGTACATACATGCATTTGTGTGGTATATATAAATGTTTATACTTTGTGTTATTAGTTCTATCAATCAGTCATATATTATATCAGCCCTATCATTATTTTTCAAATGTAAAAATTTGTTCTGTAGCCTTAAAATAATATTGTTCTTTCATACATATTCTTTTTTTCCTTCAGTTTTATGAAACTATACTGAAATACAGTATTTTGTAAGTTTAAGGTGTATAGTGACTTACATATAATTTAAAATGATAATCCTTTTATGTTTAGTTAGTATCATTAATTCATAAAACTGTATACCAACAATAAAAGAAATGCTTTTTCTTGTGATGAAACTTTTTAGGATCTTCTTCTTTATAACTTTCAAATATATTATACAGTAGTGTTAACTAGTCATATTGTACATTATATTCTTGGTACTTATTTATCTTTTGACTTGAAGCTTGTGACTTTTGATCTTCTTTTGCCAAAGAGATGTATGTACCTCCATGTTCACATCATTTTTTATACAAGCCAAGATATGAAAATACATCTAGTATTATTGATAGATCATAGGTTATTTTTATTTTTTAATTTTTTTGAGAAATATGTATATTGTTTTCTTAGTGGTTATATCAACTTATATTCCTAATAATAATGCATCGAGCTTCCCTTTTTTTAAACTGTCCACCTGGAATTTATCTTTTGTCTGTGTTGTTCAAAGCCTCAAACAAAAAGTTCTATTTATGCCAATAATGAAAGCAACACAACAAAGAGAAATTAATGCACTAATTTTTAAATCTAACATAGTCCTAAGCACAAACCTATTCTCAATAAATAAGTACACATAACTACTAACCAAGTAAGACTATTCTTGAGACAGTCTAGGGTTCTTTGTGTGTTTTACATGAAACTGAATAATAGGCAAAGAAACACATGTTAGAGACTTGATTGACAAAGACTCAGGAAAAGCCAAGGAACATGGTTCCAAAATATTAAGTTGACAAAGAGAATATGCCTTGGAATTAAATCTTTCCATATCCTAGATTCTTTACTTGGAATATATCACAATCTAAAGGAGCTTCTGTTGAAGATAAGAGGGACCTTGTTAATGTTGCCTGAAAAGGCCATGTGTGCTCATTTTTCTCTTTTGACTTTGTCACTAGCTACTATTAATATAGCAGGGCTTGCATTCTGAGCAGGGTTATACTATATAGACCTGCCTCTCTTTGGTTTAGATTATTTTTTTTTTTACATAAAAACACCAATACAGCCAGGGACAGTTCAGTGTATCCAAATTCTTTTATTTTTATACTGCTACATAGTTCTGCTTGACTACAAAACCTAGAATTCACTGGCAGTGGTAGCATTGGTATAGACAAGTGTCAATTCTAATATAAGAATCTCCGAAGTTCAGTGGTTACAAACCTTTTGACTACTTAATCTGCCACAATTTTTTTTCTTTATTCATTATCGTGCCAAATATTTCCTACAGAAATATTTTTTGACCTATTGCCTCTCTGGTGTACGCATCATCTTTTCACAAATCTATGTTATCCTGTTGAGGCCAAATAGGAAACCACCAACTCAACACTATATTTTAGGGAGGGCTCTTGACAGATCCAAGTTAAACTTTTGCCTTAACTGACGTTAATTTTATTTTTTTCATATTTGAAATACTTATATATATTTTATATCATTATTCATTTTATTACAATGTTGGTTTTATTTTATCAGGTGTGATCCAAACAGAATTTCTACCACCCATCACCTGTGTACCATAGTCACTTGTGTTCATCCTTCCCTCATTTTGATCCCTGTCCCTCTGCTTCCCTTGCAGAATGTATCTTCAATTTTTGTTTTGCTGTGGTCTTTTATTTTTTCCCTTATTTGGTTCTCCTGTATTCCTACTATACGAGAAATCATCCAATATTTTTCTTTTTCGTTCTGACTTATTTCACTGAGCATACATAATCTATTCTAGCAACATACATATTGCTACAAATGGCATTACTTAACTTTTTTGATTGCTGAGTAGTATTCCCTTGTGTATATGTACTACATCTTCTTGATCCAGTCACCTACATTTGAGCATTCGGATTGATTTCACATCTTACCTACTATAAATAGTGCTTCAGTAAAAATAGGGTTACAGATATTCTTTTGAATTTGTTTTTTTGTGCCCTAATAGTGGAATTGCAGGGCCATATGGTAGCTCCAATTTTAGTAAGACTGAGGAACCTCCGTATAGCTTTTCCATCATGGTTGGTTCAGTTTGCATTCTCACTAGCAGTATGGGAGAGTTCCATTTTCAGCACATCCTCACCAACATTTGTTGTTACTACTTTTTTGGATATGTACCATTCTTACTGGTGTAATATCATTGTGATTTTGATTTTCATTTCCCTGATTATGAGTAGTGTTGAACATTTTTTCATATGTCTCGTGGCCATTTGCTTTTCCTTTTGGAGAAGAGTCTTTAAGTTCTGCCCATTTTTTGACTGGCTTATTTATTTTATCAAGTTTGTAGTTCTTTGTATATCTTTGTGATCAGTCCCTTATCAGTTCTATGGAATGCAGAATTTTCTCCCAATCAGTAGGATAGCTCTTTTGTCTTGGTAATTGTCTCTTTTGGTGTGAATATCTTTAGTATCATGTTATCCCAGCTGTTCATCTTTTCCTTCACTTTCTTTGTCTTGGGGGATGTATCTTTAAAGATGTGACTTAGGTATAGATCTTGTAGTACTTTCCTCTATTTTCTTTTGTATATTTTATGGTTTCAAGTCTTATGTTCAGTTTCTTTATCCATTTTTGAGGTGTTTTTTTTTGTGCATGTAAGAGGTAATAGTCTTAGTTTCATTCTTTTGCATGTAGTAGTCCAGTGTTTGGAGCACCCGTTTGTTGAACAAGCTCTCCTTGTTGCATTGCATGTTTTTTTCTCCTTTGTTAAAGATTTATTGCCCATAAATCTGTTGGTTAATTTCTGGGTTTTCTATTTGATTCCATTGGTCAATTTGTCTTTGTTCCAGTACCATGCAGTTTTAATTATTGTGGCTTTGAAGTATAGTTTGAAGCCCAGGCTTGTGATACCTCAATGTCCCTTCTTTTTAGTTGGAGAGCATTGGCTATTCAAGTTTTTTGTATCTCCATATGAATTTTGTCATGTTTGTTCTATGTATTTGAAGAATGTCATTGAAATTTTTATCGGAGATAACATTGAATGCAAATTCAGTTGCTTTTGGTAGGATGACTATTTTGATCATGTTAATTTTTCCAGTCCATTTCTTTGTGTCTTCTATTTCTTTTAATATTTTACAGTTTTCTTTATGTAGGCCCTTCACCTTTTTGTTAAGTTTACTCCAGATATTTGATATTTTTGTTTAACTTATAAAAAGGATAATTCTTGATTCTTCTACTTCAGACTGATTGATTGTATATAGGAAGGCTACTGATTTTTGTCAATCTTG